TGGTTTCTTCACAGCATGAAAAATGGTCAGCCTTAATATGTGCATGTGTAGTTTTCCGGTGGACTTCGTGTCCAGCAGTGGTAGCCCCGAATGCCTGCGCTGAATGCCATCTGAGAATGCGTCAGAAGAAAAATGAACAGGAAAACTCCTTCTGTTAGGAGAGGGGTGGGGAGAAAAAGTATCTGTTACATTCCAAAATCAGTCATAATAGTGGAAGTTCGCATTAGATAAATTGCCAGAGTCAGAATGGACAAACATCTGGTTTATTCATCCCTAGCTATTCTAACAATAATATGATATCCTGTTAGATAAATCGCTGATCATCCTGGTTTATCTTGGCGGTTGTGCACCTTGGTATTTTTCACTTAAACAAGAACGTATCAGTACTTTACAGCTAGCATGCCTCCAGCTCCAGGTTCACAGTTCATGTGCTTCTGTGACTTTGAACTCTTCTTTTCCTGAGTTTACCAGCAGACAGCTGCACCAGAACAGATATGTTTACATGTGGGGAGTAAATGGCAGCTTGCAGCTCAGAGTTTCCATTTCCTTTTACATTGTTCAGGAATTCAGGCTCCTAAAGCTTCGCCTCGTGTGTACGCATCTGACTTGGCCCTTGATAGCACAAATGTTTTATTTTGACATTGATTTGTTGATAGAATGGGCCAACTAGGGAGAAGCTACTTTCACTAGAAATTACCCTCAGTTTACATGAAGTTCAGTTGTGGGTGAAATATCTTTTAAAAAAATTCTAAACATCATTTTCTGTAAGGCTTTAAATCAGTATGTAAATGTGACGCTAATGTGGAACCACTTTATGCAGCTATAGCATGATAGATGTATTTTTAGGCAGAGAAAAATTACATTTTGCATTAAGCATGACGATGAAATCTGATTAGCTGCTTAAACCATGACACTGGCTATTTAAGCTATTGTCATGTGTAGGTGATAAAATATTCCCAGATGTGCTTGGCGAGGCAATAATTCCATGAAGAGGTTATGGTAATTAAAAACAAGAAACAAAACCATCAGAGTGATTTGTTCATTTGCCTGAACCCTGAAGTGGAATTAGGCACTTCAGTGAAGAGTATCAATTGTTCTGACTTTAGACCACATGACAGACTTCTCATCGCTATTGCCTAATTCCATGTTTATGAGCTTTTCTTTCCCCTTTTGTACCTTATTTGGATATTTTGGGTTCTTGCTCTGAATGCAAACCATGGCTGATTGGTTATTTTAGTAATTGAACTGAGTGAAGTAGATGTTATATAAATGACCTGTAGAAAGGCCAATAGTAATTGTGTTGTGTATTGCCTACTGTTGTTCTGAAACAAGATTCCCCAGTTACCCTGATGTGTTAGAATGAGCTTAGCTTTTAGTCACCCTCACATGGATCTCTGAGAAGGAAATATTTGAACTTAGCAGAGCATTTTGATGCAGTTTCATTCTAATATACTTGTGTATATTAATGGATAGATTTAGAATCATAGAATCACAGAATGGTTTGGGTTGGAAGGGACCTTAAAGACCATCTAGTTCCAACCCCCCTGCCATGGGCAGGGACACCTTCCACTAGACCAGGTTGCTCAAAGCCACATCCAGCCTGGCCTTGAAGACAGCCAGGGATGGGGCATCCACAACATCTCTGGGCAACCTGTTCCAGTGCCTCACCACCCTCTCTGTGAAGAATTGCTTCCTGATATCTAATCTAAACCTCCCTGATTTCCTATGGCCCACGATTAAAAGTAGTGTAATGATAGTGCACAGCTGGTACATGAAACTTTATTTTTTAATCTTCATTCTAATGTTCCTTATGATACTTAGACTATAAAACTGAAGCATAAACTCAAACAGCAGAGTATTTGTAGAATTAGGTTTTGCACTTTATATGACCACACAATGAGACAGTCCAGAGAGCCGTGCTCACTGAAAATTACACCCACAAAATAATCTTTTAGTACTGGTCCAGGTCATTGTCCAGTCTTGTCAGTGCAAGATGGGGATCTGGAATGCAAATCAAGGCATAGGACGGTAAAATCCCTGATCTGGGTCTACATATGTTGCTGTGAGGTTTTGTTCTCAAGCTGGAAGTTCAAACACCTGTATGTTTTCTATGAGCTCAAATTGTTTACCTCTTTACTTTCTATGGAACTGCTATGTTTGTGGCCGGGAAATCGAAGCACACAATTAACATCATGCTGATATCATCTCGTCTCTTACAAACGCCCTACCTGCTTGCAGGGCAGCAGCCCTGGTAGCAGGGATTCACGGGGCTGGGAAATGGCCTCTTGGCTGGGGATGGGGTGAAGAGGCTTTCAGGGAGGGGAGCTGAAGCCGAGTAGAGACTGCGTAGGCAGGTAGGAGTGGTTGTATCATAAACTTTCCTTCAGTTGAGGTACAGCAGACCACATCTGCTTAAGTAGATACTTGTTCCCAAAATCTTGGTCGGTTCACCTGCAGTCTGTAATTGGCTTCTGTTGACAAACCATGTATGAGAAATGATAACCAAAATAAATTAACCCATGTATTACTTTGAATTTCTGTTGTTACATTTAAAGTGATTAGCTGTTTTATCTCATAATCTCTTAAATGTAGACTAGCTTGAAACTTTCCGTTTGAAGTCTGTATTTGTTTTTCATTGATGCTTTCATCTGAAAGCAGGAAACAATCTGAGAGTAATTGTATTAAGTGTTCCAGTACAGAGATTTTAAAATATAATAGCTTGGCGTATTACTCTATCTTCTCACTGTTCCTCGGAGGAAATAAAATGGAGTTAGGAACTTTGATCCAGGCAGCTTTTCTAGTACATCCTGTTTCCTTCCGCACACTGGAGAAAGCACCGACGTTCCTCTCCCTTTCCTCCGCTTCAGATGAAGAAATCTCGTTCTCCATGTTGTAGCACTTGATCTCAGCGACCAGCAGTGTTCTGTTAGCTTTTCAGATGTCGACATAGGACTTGGGTTGTTGAGGCAAGTGGGCATTTTGCCCTCCATACCAAAGGAAAGCGTTACAGAGAATATGCACAGCTACCCAGATCAGTGCCCCACGCAGCATTTGCCCCGGCTGCTTAGGCTGCCCCCAGTGCTGTGTGCGCTGTTGCTGTGCTTGCAGGAAGGCTGAAATCTCTGCTTTTCTCTCACAGAAAGGTGGGCTTGCAATCCCCCTTTCTCTAAGGAAAACTGACCCTTGAAAAGGCTTGGCATGAGAAGGATTATCTCCCTGGAAACTTTGTTTGGAAACGTTAGGAGACTGCTATGTGTATATGCTGGCAATCCCCATAAGAGACAAATTATTTTCCCACCCTCTCAAGTACTTGGTAGTTTATCTGTTGTTTATATTATAGATTGATTGTGGTTATATATTCCTGACTCAGAGTTCTCATTAATCACACTGTGCCACATAAGAGACTGGAGGAGAAGAATGGGGGTTACTGGAAAGCAGACGTGTGATCCCAGGCTCTGCTTTAGTGCGACTTACCCCGACATTAGCTTTGTGCCTGTGAATTACTGTGTCTGGTTTTGTTTGGGACATTTTTGTTTGTTTCCGTGTTTGTCATGTCTGTTTTTCTCAGGGCTATTCAGAAGTAGATAATATACTTACTACAGTGATTTTGAAGACTGTTACTCGTGACACTTGCCATGTCCCTGTTTGAAGAGGTCCCTGCTCCCACCCCCGTGTTTGCTAGCTCTTGCTTCCTCCCCCAGCCTCAGCAGCCGTTTCCTTCCTCTGAGCAGAGCCACGCAGGCGATTGTTTTAGCCTGTGCAAAACGAAGGGGTGGAAAAGGACCGGTGGGGTGAGGACAAATTCACAAAGGCTGGGACTTCCTAAAGCCCATCTGCTGCCAATGGCAGCAGAGCTGACCTGCACCACCTCCTCCTCCTTGGCCCTGATGAAGGTTTCCAGCCTCAGAATGTTCAATCACCTGTTTGTGGTCCCCTTCCAAGCATGGGAGTCAAAACTGTTGGCAACAGGGAGAGAAAGAAAAGGGGATTTGCTAGTTTTTGCAAGATGATTGTGGTTACGGGGACACGTTACCAGCTCTCCAGCCTCTGAAGCATGCAATTTTCCCATCCTGACTTGTCTGGCTGAAAGTCCCTTCACGTCTGTGTGCTCTGGTGGGAAATAGTTAGATTGGCAAATTTTCAACCAACAGATTTAATCCCTTGAATTTTTTAATTGCTATATGCTTGTATTTGTCTAATAAACAGAAATTATTTGGATTTTAAAAGAAGCAATGGAAATAATTGATATTGGACAAATCAGAGCAAATTAGCGCTGAAGAGGCTGACATTATTTAATACAGATTATCTTCTCTTTTATTTGTTGCTCTGCTAAAAATACTTTGCCAGGCATATGCTAATTCTGCACTGATCTTTTTTCCTGAGTCACATTTAAAATAATGTCCGATTTCTTTGGTGCATAGTTCCATTATAGAATTCACTGTTTAAGAGTATCTTCAACACTGAGATATGACTCTAAACGCTGGCTTGTGTTTATAATTAAACATCAACTCCACAAAGGTAAGAGACGATCAGAAGTTCTGCAAGCCTAGGAGAATTTAGGTCCATTAGTTACGATGAAAGCACATCTTTAGTGAAATCAAGGAGGAGGAATAACGTAGGGCTGTCTTAGCTCTGTAAGAATTGCAAACATTTTAAATATAATTATACAAAAATAGCTATTTTACAGGACTAGATGTTTTTTAAAATTTTTGTTTCCAACTATTTGGATTACTTATGGTTTTTTTTCCCCCCATGTGACTACTTTTGATGACATATTGTACATATCAAGAATAAAAGCATTTATTTCTGAGTTGGGAATAGTTTTGGTTTTTTTTAATCAGACTCAGTAATGTAAATAGACCTCGGTTTGAAAGTTCATTCAGAACTGAGTAGTGGTGTATATTTAAGCACACTGTATGCTAAAGTAGAAATATCCCCCAGTGTTTAACCGAAAGCATGTTTTATGTGTGGTTTTGTTTTGTTTTTTTAATGTTTAACAGTAACTGAAGCTGGCTTTGGTGCTGACATTGGGATGGAGAAATTCTTCAACATCAAATGCAGAGCCTCTGGCTTGGTTCCCAGTGTGGTTGTACTTGTTGCTACAGTGAGGGCTTTGAAGATGCATGGAGGTGGGCCAAATGTAAGTTTTTGCACCTTTCTTGGAAAACAAAATTGTTGCTAATATTTGAAATAAGTAAAATATTTTGGCTTAAGAAATGCTTGGGGTAGCTTATGAGGTAGTATTTAGAGGTCCCTCCTGAGTTACCACATTATATAGATGTTACCTCCGAAGGTAATGCCGCGATGGAAAGGCGCAAATGAAGGAAGAGGGATGAAAGGGCTCTGAACAAATACTAAATCTTGCTGAGGGAGAGAAGTTTGTTTGGATGGGGGTGGAAGCTATAATGTATATATATAGTCTTTGCCTCTTGAAATAGCGTTTTTAAGTGTACTGAAGCCGTCTCAGGCTGGGAAAGTTGGCAGCTGAGGCGGAATGAGAAGAGTTTGGATTGCAGTATGTGAGCAGCAGTAGGGAACATTGTTAGTGAAGGTTTTGAGATTTCTTTCACTACAGTAATGGGAACCCTTTCTGTCCTTCTAATCTGCTCAGGTTAATTCCCTCAGTGATGCTAAGGTAACTGATAAAATTGTGCAAGTGTTTTTCCAGTGTACCAAAAGTCACCAGTGTATCATTTTTTTGCTATTTAAGCCACCAAGAGACTTGTACAGATCACTGATTGTAGAAGTGCTCCTCAGTCATGCAATCAGATTGGACTCGGCTCACCAAGCAGACAGGCACTTAACTCCTAGAAACACTTTCATCTGCCCAGCAGCATGCAAGTGAGTGATGCTGCCAGGGAAACAGTCTCACTGGGTGAAAAAAACACAGCTGTTTCCACAGCCACAATATTTTGGAATGCATGGTCTCCCTTACAGCTAATTGTCTCTTAGAGTTAAAGCTGAGCTGTCCTTTTTCAGTCTTTCAGGTTGATGTAATTATATAACTTTCTATCATTCTAGTCCACCTGTAATGCAAGTTTTCTTTATTTTTAATTATATTCTTCCATGTGAATCAAGGCAGGTATATTGTCATGTGTGTCATCATTCAATCTAGCAAAACCTCGACTTTAAAATATCTCAATAACTATCTGATCTGTCATTAGAAGTACAAAACTTTCATTCATTTACGTAGTGAACCATGGAGGCATGTAGAGTACCAGGTACTTTTACTGTGAGTTAACTATAAAGTGGACCAAGACCAACACTTGAGACAAAAGTGACTGAGTCCAGTGCCTGAGATCAATGTATGTAGTTCTTACAGAGTCTCTGTAGTATCCTGGTGATGCTTCTTGTTTGTATACCTTTGTGCTTTCCATCAAAGTAAATTCCTTGCATGCAGTTCCTTGCTAGGGGCAGTAATTACAGGGCACCCAAAGATGATGTTCCTCTTCTAGTCATCTGTGCTACTGTTACTCCTTCAGCCAGCTGTTGGAAGTTGTTGTCCATTGTCTTTGCACTGCTGATGGGTTGTTAGGCATGCAGAAAGGGATCCAATTACCTCCTCTCCAATGAAACCTTTACAACCAGTTGTTGAGTCACTACCTGTGTCTTGCTACACAAATACAATAGGAAATGTGGCAATTCTCTATGGCGTAACATGGAATAAACAGAGGCTGCAGTCAAGCTGTGGTGTTATGTGCAATGTACGTGCTGACTGGCAGTACAGAAAGTAAGCAAAAGTGCTCTTCTTGACCATTCAGGATTATGACAAGTGTCAGTCTGGGATAACTTTGTTTATTATTCCAGGTAACTGCTGGTGCCCCCTTGAAGAAAGAATACACAGAAGAGGTAAGAGAAACTATTATAAAACTTCAGGAGAAATTTTTGTTTAAAGGCACAGATAATGTGGTATATGTAGAATTAGAACTTCTTGTTCTTCTGGCTGGACAATGTGCTGCCTCAGGTTTGGCAGCAGCGTGCTCTGATGCTGACACCGAGTGAACACCTTTAACAGACACTGCCAATGAGTAAATCCATCTCATCTTCCCCTCAGCCACGTGGTGTTATCCCTGTTGTGTGTGCTATGTGTGTGACGGTGTGGTAGATTGTACTGAGGAACTGAGCAACCAGTCATCAGCTGCACTGTGTTCTTGTGTCCCAGAAAAGAGCAATACATGCCTGTACAAATTTTGGACACTGCTTAGTTACTTAAAAATGTCTTGCTTATTAGTTGAAATAAGAATTAATAAGTGCCAAAATATTTTTGTCTGGAAGCATTTTACTTGCCCAACTCTCATGATCAGCACTGTTTATACTCAGTTTCATTTATGGAAAATTCTTTGGCTGGAGAAGACTTGATGTATCTTACCATTTCCATTAATTTTTATTTAATTACACAGAACCTCCAGCTGGTAGCTGATGGCTGCTGTAATCTGCAGAAACAGATTCAAATTACTCAACTTTTTGGAGTTCCTGTTGTGGTTGCTCTAAATGTCTTCAAGTAAGTCTGTTCTTTCATTACTCTTGGGAGTAAATCCACAGTTCAAATTTCACACTTTTTTGTGTTTTAAATTAATCAGTTCGGGCACAAGGAGAAGAAACTACTAAATAACTTCCTTTTTTCTCCTGAGTATAAGGACCTTTAAATCCTCAGGTTGTTCTTAAGGTTTTAAAACCACCAAAAAAGTGTACATACTGTTAGGGAAATATTAATGTTCAATGTTAAAATTAGCTGTAACAATTACAAAAAGTGTTCTTGAAACATGTAAATACATATGCTGTATATCAATGCATTATGTATACGGCACAATTTCTGTATAGACTTGCTTTACAACCGCTGATGGTAGAATAAGGCTAAGTATATAATATTGTAAAAGAGAACTAATTAAACAAGATAATGAGATGGAACTGTTTGGTTGGCAGAACTGACTCTCCTGCTGAGGTTGATCTGGTGTGTAAGCTTGCAAAGCAATCTGGAGCATTTGATGCTGTGCCCTGCAATCACTGGTCAGCTGGTGGTAGAGGAGCAGTAAAATTAGCTCAAGCTGTGGAAAAGGCAGCCAATCAGAAAAATAATTTCAAATATCTCTACAGCTTGGAGGTAAGATTTTTTTTTTTTTTTTAATGAAGCATGCTGCATCAGTGTTGGATTTAAAACAAGAACAACATTGCAACAAAGCTATCTAACGTGCTTTCAAAGGGGCTTGATTTGGCTTAAAAATCACAAAAGATGGAGAAAACAAATGATCTGTGGCTTGTCTAAACAGAGGAGTAGGATACTTGTGGTAATGCTCGTTATTTAGTGCATTGAATGATGTTTCTGATACTTTCTTGTATGTCTGTGGGTGGAACATTCACAAGTTACCATGGGAGACTTCTTCACACAGATCTCACAGTCATGATCTTTGTCCTGACAGTCGGCTAAAATGAAATATAATTCTGTCTCACAGTCATGGGTATTGCTACAGGCTGTGGCTCCCTGAAGCATTCACTCTCTGTACGAAAAGGATCTTTTCAGACAGGTCAGCACAGAGAGAAAGCGCTGCCTTTCCCAGCACCCACCTGCACGCCCACAGCCCTCAGACGGACATGCAGAGCACGGGCAGCCCAGTCCGGTCCCTTCTCTTCTGCTGACTGGGTTGGGAGTCTGCTAGTGCAATACAGCACACGTGATATACGGGTCACTGCTGCTGTTGGCCTTAGATCCTCAGTCTCTCCAGGGGCAGCCTGCAGTGCCCCTGCCCTGCTCCAGCTGTTGGCACCAGGGTCCACCAGCCCCTGAGGTTTGAGGCTCACTCCAGCTGCTGGCACTCAGACCTCTCCTCCTGCTCTCTAGTGTTCATACACACATCTATCTAGAGCAGAAAGCAGACCCCCACAGAAGGTAGTCAGGAATCAGATTTAATGAGAATAGAGGACAGACTGCAGTGCTCAGGCACAGGGCTCAGTCAGACAAGCTACTGACCAGACACCTTTACACTCAACTGGCACCTTCTTCCTCTTTTCCCTCCATTTTTTCCCACTTGTTCCTTTTCAGTTCATCTTGATTACTCCCTTTCTCCATCTTTGATTCTTCCACTAAACATGCCCTAACAATCTTTGCACATTCCCACAATCCTCTTCAAAAATCCCACCATAAGTTTTACGCAGTCCCCAAATGCTCTTCTTCCTGCATCCCTTAATGAGTCCTGTGCTGCTGTAGGCAATTGCCTCCTTTTGTTTGCAAAGTTTTTCTGATTAAAGAGTTTACCCACTGACTCACCTTGGTGCATTTCACACCAAGGACAATGGTCTCATCCTTCCCCTTGCAGGGTCTTAGGAAACAGCCAATTCAGTGTGCTCTAATTTTCACTGATTAGATTTTTCCACTGATGACATTACTAGGGTGCCTCCACCTCTCATTGTTCCTCTGATCTTTGCTTGGGCTTTGTGCTTAATTTGCTTAGCCAGTAGTGCGAAAACTCAACAAGGATAGTGTGGTCTAAGCTTCAATCCTTTGTCTGCCTGAGGTGGTGACTCTTTTTCCATGTCTTGGAGACTTTGTTATCGCAGCTGTCTGCAAGGTAAGGTCACAACATCTGCGCTGTCAAGAGGAGCAGCTTGCAAGGAAGGGCTGCTTGGGCCCCTGCAAGCACTCTGCTGGAGCACTGCCGTGCAGGCAGTGTGTTGGGAGTGCCGTATTGCTGAGAAGGTTGTACAAAGGATTCCTCAAGGCCTTCCTGACTATCCAAATGTGGGTGGGTTAAAATTTGGGTAGCAGAATAGACTTCTCTGGCACCAAGGAAGCCCTTGTCAGATTTCAGATCCTGTGCCTCAGTGCTACTTAAATTTCTTTAGAAAATGTTTGAATGCTATAACATAACCCCCATCTTTAAAAA